CCTCTACCTCTAACATTTGGAGGTCTGTAACTCTGTTTTGGACAATACCTCTTAATGTGTCCGATCTCCCCACATCCATATCACTCTCTGGGTTCATTCATAGGTCTTTCAGAGAAGTGTTTACCGGTCTGAGGTGGACCCCCAACTATAGTCTGTAGTGAAGACTGAATCGGTCGGACTGAGTAACCTCCGGAACCTTGTCCTCTAGAGTAAGAACCATTAAACTCACCTTCCTTTCGAACCTTTTTGATGTAGTTGCCATGGTGAAGTCATCTAGCTTCACTCCCTCTACCTCTATTACGAAGTCTACCACTTCTTGAAAAGATTTCGCTGTAGCCATTACCCGCAAGGCTGAAATCAACAACTCTGATCTCAACCCCTTCACAAAACAGCGAATCTGCTCTTGTGGACTGAAACAAATTTGGGTGGCATGCCTGGATAATGCATGAAACTTAGCCTCATATGCATTAACCGTCATCCTACCTTTCTCTAGACTCAAGAACTCGTCTCTTTTCCTATCCCTCAGAGTCCTTGGGATATACTTCTCCATAAACAAACTAGAGAATGATGCCAAAGTCATAGGTGGTGCCTCCGTTGGTTAACACTCAACATGTGACTTCCACCACATTTTGGCGTTCCCTTGAAACTGATAACTCACGAACTCAACACCAAACCATTCTACTATACCCATCTGGTGTAGTAGCTCATCACAGTCAACCAGAAAATCGTAACCATCCTCAGATTCAGCACCCTTGAAGACTGGAGGTTTCAATTTCAAGAACATACTGAAAAGTTCATGCTGATCATTTGTCATTATAGGCCCAGTAGTCAGACGTGGAAACGTGCCTATTTCCAATGAGGCATCCATGCGGGGAGCCATAGTAGCCGCATGTTGTACCTCCAGAACCTGAGGTGCTGGTGCAGGAAACACTAGAGGTGTCTGACCCTGATCAGATAACCCGCTAAGATAAGCAAGAACCTGATTGATCATCTCTGGGGTAGGTTGGGGTGAAAATTCCTCATTTTGCACTTGTTCATTCTCCCCATCCTCACCCTGTCTTACAACTTCCTCTGTCGGTGGAGGAGTCACTGCCCTAGTATCAGACGGGCTAGGTGCTCGTCCTCTTCCTCTAGAGGACGTCCTCCCACGACCTCTACCACGGCCTCTTGCCGTTGCTCTTCCTCGAGCTACAACCCAGCTGCTGGTTCAGATGCTTCTTGTCTTGCCGATGTTGATGTTGGCGCAGTCGTTGCTCTAGTTCTAACTATCTGTGAAATAGAGTGAAGATGGTCAGATACCAATTTGTATCACCTAGATACCAATTGGACCCAAGTAATAGCACGAAAGAAAGAAAGAAAGAATGGAATTTTCCTAAAGTCTTATAGCCTCTCAAAGAAAAGTAAAGGCATCCCCCTACCGTTCCTTAAGACTCAACAAGACTCGTTCTTGTGTGATGAGACCAACGAATCTAATGCTCTGATACCAAGTTTGTCACGACCCAAAACCGGATCGCGACTGGCACCCACACCTACCCTCCTATGTGAGCGAACCAACCAATCTAAACCTTAAAATTTCGAACATAATAAATAGAAAACAATGCGGAAGACTTAAAACTCATTAACAAAATCAATGATCAACTTCTATAACTCAAAACTTATCATTATCCCCAAAATCGGGAAGTCATCACCACAAGAACATCTATGAATCAAATGACTAAACTAAGAGTATTCTAAAAACTAAAACAAGTAAAAGCTAGTCCATGCCAGAACTTCAAGGCATCAAGACATGAAGAGGAAGACCCAGTCCAAGCTAGAAGCATTAGCTCACCCTGAAATCCGGTGTGATTGAAGACTGGCTAGAATTACTGTTGAGTTAAAGACGACGGTACGTTTGCTGCACTCCACAATTAAACAAGAAGAAAACATAAAAGTAGGGGTCAGTACAAAACACGGGTACTGAGTAGATATCATCGGCCAACTCAAAATAGAAATCAATATATATACCAAGTAATATCATAAAATCAACTATGATACTCAACATGTAGCAACAGCAAGTACTATATCATTAATAATTACCGTCAAGTTCACACATGATGACTCAAGCCTCAATACCATACTCATTTGGGAATTATGTTCATTCGATTGAGTATATTAACATCTTTCAAGATTCATTATCTTAGTTTCTCTTGTGTCGGTACGTGACACTCCGCTCCCTCATATTCATTAATCCTCTTGTGTCGGTACATGACACTCCGATCCCCTACTACTATGTGTCAGAACGTGACACTCCGATCCCCTAAATCTACGTGTCAGTTCGTCACACCCGATCTCTTAAATCTATGTCTCGGTTCGTGACACCCGATCCCCTAAATCTACGTGTTAGTTCGTGACACCCGATCCCCTAAATCAACGTGTCGG